TTAGTCCCATCAAAAAGATAGACAAATATATGTGCATATTTAAAAAAAAAAAAATCATCTAAAACTATTTTTTGCATGAAATAATTCCTGAGACATGTAGACTGCATCTTGCATAGAAGTTACCTGCTAGTCCAGTATTGTGAAAATTTGGGAAATAACAATGCATGGCATGCATGGCTGTAACAAAAAGTGACTAAATCCTGTAAATAAAGAGAAAGACAAAGAGACTTGAGCTGAAAGTTAAAGCTCAGTTAAACTAACAGGCCCATCCTAATGGATTACTTTAAAAGTCGAGCAGAGAGGAGGAATCTTTCTTTCCTCTCAAACTAAAGACATTCAGATTGTCTTGCTCTTGTAACGCCAGCATTTGACTGTAAAGTGTCTTTGGCTTTAAATATTTCAGTCATTACAAGTATGACAGTTTAATTGAAGAGTTGGAAGGAGATGATATGGATTAAATGTAATACTGTGGAGACGAATATGATGTCTTTGAGATGACATGATTGGCCATTTTTGGAAAGATCAGATTTAAGGGATTATTAAGGTTTTACAGATTAAGTGACTTCACTGGTTACTGCTGGAAAGTGAACTAAAAATGAAGGACATTGAGAGGTTACTATGGTTACAGATATTATTTACATCCCTTTCGAGGCTCAGTGCGAGGAGAAAAGCCCATGAGGACAGGCAGCTGGACTTTCCTGGTTACTGCCGGATGATTTAATCCAGATGGCTCCACGAGTGCTCACAGTCATGCTTTGATTGTTAGGAGGAGGAGGAAGAGGAGGAGGAAGAGGAACATGTGGAGAACACACTGTAACAGGACAACAAAGTAAAAGTTCTTTGGAGGAAGGAAACAGGTGCTTAAAGGGTCTCTGGCTGTTGGTAAACAAACACAGACTGCACCCAAGGGTATTTTATATTTAGACAATGCTACATCCTCCGATGAGGAACAGTGACAACAACATTTCTGCAGACTGAACTTGCGATGCATAATAGTGGACAGTGAAGGTTATCAATCCTCAGAATGTTTAATAAAAAAAATTAATTACCTGGTGTTTTATTGGTCTTCCTCTAGTGTTTGTGTGGTAGCCATTTTTTATTTTGTTTATTCAAATGTAAGAAACAAGTCAAAATGTTAAATATAGCTGACCACGAGCTCACATAATGAATCAATCACAGCCGAATTTTCAGCCAAATTCAGAGCAATTGGTTTCAAATTACTTAAATTGTCTTAATGTATTAAGTATTAGGTCTATGTTGAGAATAATATGTACTGACGTATGTTATTGAGATTATGTAATCAAACTACATGTTTGTGATTCTCCTGAAAAGTGACAAACCTTGAGTGTTTTTTTAACCCTAATGAAGGCAGCCATCTTGGATGTGTTCTCTGTTTGTTTTTAGTTTTGATGAATTCTTCCAGACTTTTTCTCGACACCTGTGATGGAAAAGTTTACTCTTGCAATTATGACTCACTAGGAGGATGAGGATAATTCGAGGTAATTGCTAATTCATCAACAAAAACACCAATCAGAGCAACCAACTCCCTCTGAGGCAATGCTGTGGCTCATTTAATAAAACTGGGGATTTCAAATGTCTGATTTACTCTGACAGTTGTGGTGTTGTCAGTGCTGGGATGAACTCGAATCTGGTTAAATGCCAGGATAAAACTAGGCGTGCCTGGAGTTGTAGCTCAGTTCACCAGGATGAGTCAGGTCGGCGTCCTTTAATTTACTCACTGCATGTTGTAAATCTAATTAACTTCCGAATGAACTAATTGTCATGTTTTCTCTGAGAAAACAGGAACAACTTTTCTGATGCTCTAGATGTGTGTGTTTAGTGAGGTGGAGATCATAACCGCGACACAGCCTGCGGGCAGCCACGAAAAGCTCTGAAAGAACGTCTCTGATGTGGAATTAACCTTCAAAAGTTTGTCTGGGATGACGGCCAGCGTTCTGTAATGTCTGCTGCTCCCGCACCAACATCCATCAATCCATCTGACAGCGTCGTGACCACAGAGCCTGTTGCCATGGCGACAGACAATCTAGGCCCAACAGTGCATCAGGAAGACTGAGGTCATTTAACAGTGAACGAAATAACCCCTAACAGGGGTTAATGTGAGCAGAGTGTGGAAAGAAGAACCCACACAAACACACACACACCTACTAGATGTTGAGACTAGCATGTGTTTCAGGAAAATTCCCAAAAATTCCCCAAACATATATTTTTTGAATCGATGGAGCAGGATATAGTTTGGGATATGGTGGTAGCATAATAATAATAAGATTTATTATCAAGTTTGTATTAGATGAGTTGTGATATTCTTTTTATTCATATTAAATTGTACTTTTTGTTCACAGACTGCATGATAAAAACTATCTATTACTAACTCAGAACTAACCTCTGATCAAAAATCCATTGAGTGGATAGCAATACACCATGTGGTACCAACAGTGACTGCAACACATTGACATTAATATCGAATAATAACAAAATAATAGAAAGGAGACATACTTGTTTAACGTTTTGTGAATACATTGCTCAGGACAGAGAAACAGATACAGATGCTCTGCTGACTTAAAACAAGTGCAAATAAATTAGCCTATATGCAAATTCCATGCTTAAATTATGTTGTGCCTGTAGACAGTGCGCTGTAAATTAGTACAGATTAAAAAAAGGCAAAGCGAGGCAACTTTAATACAAAGCCTAAAGGCAAAACCTTTAGCAAATAGGCAAAATCACGGGTTCTTGAAACTAAGACCAAAAACCTCCCAGCCCGAAAAAACTTATTTTCCTCGTTTGCTTTTTTTCACACTTTGAGTAAAAAACAAAAAACAAAAGAACTCACAAAAAAACAACTATTATTTTACCTAATGACTCCAGCACATTCATTTTCAACTAAAGGTTTGTCTTATACTCTTTGTTATTGGTGACTTCCTAGAGGCTGGCACCCGACTCCTGAGAAATAGTTTGCTGCTTTAGGGCACCAGTGGTTTACACACCCACCATGAGGTGTTCGATGATGCTTTTCATGACTGTACCTGTACTGCACAACAGCGAACACATCGAGCCAAAACCCTGCTATCAGCGAGACAATCTGCTAAAGCGAGAGCAGCAGACAAAAGGTGCAGAAACAAGTTTTTGCAAGCCATGAAAACGCCTAGTCTGTAGTCAAATGTGTGCTGCTCATTTCCTTAACGACGTAAAGCTGTAATAAATGGAAACAGAAACAGGCCTGAGCATGTGGAGGACATGATGCACATTTCTGATTAGCCATGTGTTACAGATAGAAGTCCAGGAGCTTGGCTGAATACAAAAGCATCAACGTATTTAATTTAAGAGACACTGTGGATTAGTACACAAGACATGTGAGACAGGAGTCTCTAGTAGAAAAATAAAAACTTGCTTAATTTGAATTGGTTCTTTCTTCATATTAGCACATTTGAATAACTCATTGTAAACATTTAAGCCTGATTTAATATGTTTTTTCTATGTAGATTAAAATGACAAATTAAAAAAAGAACATGCAAAGGTATAAACTAAATTTTGAGACATTTCAGGGAAGGAGCTGAAAAACTTTACAGATAGACACACAGATTATAAGTCTACGGGTAATAACAACCCCAGCTGTCTGTCATTGAGAAGAGGACACCTGGCACATGTTTGTAAACTTCAGTTGTTTTCTCCACATCTCTAATTCTAAAGCAGGAAAACTATTGTTTGGAGGCTAAAGTTCAGATTCCAGCTCCTGCTTCAGCTCCATGAGTGGAAAAGGTTTCCTGTTTCACACCCTGCCTGTTAATCACACTAAACAAACGACACATATAAAGGAAGGTCAAAGTCCCCAAATACGTTTTTTGGACATTTTAACTCTTAAATAACCTGTTTTGTCAATATTATTTAAGGTGTTTTTTTTTCTTCTGTAGTTCTTCAGGTGTTTAAGTTAAAGACACAAGAACATGATGCTAGGGCAGGTCTGGAGCTGAGGTGTCAACTAGTCTGATACTGTTTCTCACATGTCAGCTATCAAGTTCAAACAAACAGAATGAGACCAAACTGACACTGCAGGTGGAGAACCTGGCAATGCCTGTGCAGGGCTCGACATTATAACTGGCCCGCTGGCCCGGATGAATGATTGACAGAGTCCGGGCCAGTTAAAATACTGCCTGAAAAAAAAATGAAAAAAAAGACTGTAACACGTTGTTAATTTCACAGCGCTTTCCTGTCATACTGGATTTTTTCAGTAATTATTTTATAAACGTCGTGCTAATAACTGCTACAGCATCAACGTATTATAAGCGCTCGTGCGCGCATGTGGTCACAGATTTTATTCTCTAATAAAAAACACGTTCGGTAAAGCGGTCTTAAAACCATCAGATCCCGACAAAAGCCGAGCTTAAATCAGCATTCAAAGAAAAAAAAAATCAACGGAAGAGTCGAGAGTGACTGCAGGGCATGACGAAAACAGAATGGAGAAAGGTTTCAGCCACAGTGGCAGACAGCTGGTGGAGCTGGAACACGTTAAAGTTAAAGACTAGATCCTGGTAAAGACAAAACTTATTCACAAAGCACCTAAAGTAAAGATCTAGGGATGAAGAGTTTCTCATAGAGAAGAGAGAAAAGTGATCATAACAATTCCAGCTCTATCACAACCTCATATTAATGTCAGTCAGATTAAGTAGACTCTTACAGTTACCAGCATGGTGAATAAACATGAGCACGTAAATATAAGAAAAATACAAAATATTTGATAAAATTAGAGCTCAATTAAATAAAAGTTGTAATTTACTCTTGCATCAGAATGGTTCAAGAGCAAATTGGTAACTGATATTTTAGAATAAAAAGTAACGTTCCTGGGCCAGCAGTTACAATGGACATGCCAGTGATCTTTGAAAAATCGTGGCCAAGAGGGCCACTGGCACATTTAACTTAATGTCAACCCCTGCCTGTGTGTGCACGTGCACGTGTGTGTGTGTGTGTGTGTGTGTGTGTAGACTTACCAGGACCGAGTGCATCCCCATGTAGATTCGGCTAACGCAGACCAGCAGACACCAGCAGAGGGCCAAGCTGAAGCCCAGTGAGAAAGAGTACTGTGGAGGACAAAGGAGACAATTTTCAGCGCAATGTTTAACACCACTGACATATTACCAGTTAGGCAGACTTACAGTTTGCAGTATTTCAAATAAACAGCACTGATGCAGCTGTGATAAAGTGATAGAAATATTATAATGAATCTGAGTGTAGCTGTTCGCTTGAGCTTTAACTGTTTCAACATGGTGTGAAAGCATTGCAATCATACCAGTCCTGCAACAGTTAAAATGTTCACACGCTGAGTAAGACACAAAGACTTTATACAAACATGGACGTAGTCTTAGTTATGTCGCATGTTGTTTTCCGAAGCAGACTTTTAAAGCCCATCTGTGGCGGTCTGCATATTGGAAATGCTGTCTCAGTCGATCAGCCATGACCCTTATTATGAATAACTCTTATGCAGCATAAAATCCAAATGGAAGAGTATTTTAAAATATAAAATATGTGTCATTTTTGATGACGGTCATTTTTGAATGGGTGTGTATGTGATTCCGTGGCTTTTTCCGCCAGCCTCAAGTGGTTCTTCCGCATTGGCTTCATTTTTTCAACACCGGAGGTTGACACTTGGTGAAAAAGCTCTGTGGTTGCATTAAATGTGCTCTTTGCCAACGCATTTATTGCAAATGTTCATGTTGCGGGAACGATGAAAATGCAATTTCTTGGCGAGATAATCAAGATAATAATAAAAAAAAGAAAACTGTCTCTTCAATGATCACTAAAGGACTGGGGCTGCTAGTTAAACTGCAGCAAATTACCACATATCTCCTCAATTTTCAAGAATAAAAGAAATTCACTTTTACTGTGACTCTCCTGCCTGTCAGCATACCTACTTTTTTCTCTTCTACAGAATAATTACATTTTCTTCAACAGCTCAGACAGTGCCTTACAGTGTAATGTGGATGTGTAGTGTACACAAACTTCTACTTCAACGTGCAAGCAAAAAAAACTGCAGACTAACTAGCAGATATCACCATTTCAGTGTGTGATGACATTTTCGGTCCATCTATAGAGTAAGTCCAAAGTTTCATTGTGATCGTAAATTTTATTATTCTTTTTATCTTAGTCTTTATCTTTAATCTTCTCTTCCTTGTTGCTTCTGATCTGCACTGAGTGACCCTACGCTAAACATTTGTCATGCATCATGATACATATATTTGTTAATGAGTCTCTGCATCAAAGGGAACACATGAATCCCTGCAATCTTTACTACGCTTAATTAAGATAAAAATAATAATATGATAAAATGTTGTGAGTTCTGGAGATTATAGAAACACTCCCAGCCTGGATAAATGTTGCTGTAATGTGGTAGATATGATTATCTGCCAATGTGCCCTAGACTCAGAGGCCCTCATAAATCTTTAAGCAATCCTGCTGTTCTCTTATCAGACATGCTTGGCCTGTAGCAAGAAGAATAGGGAGAGAAAGGAAAGCTGGGTTCACTGCAGCTGAAAGTGTCCAAAGTCAGCTTCTTCTCCCTCACGTGACTAAGATTATTTCTCCAGTCAGTGCAAACAGCAAAGGACAGCACTGAGACCTATGAACACATGGCCTAAGGTCAGATTCAGTTGCAATCCGTCTTCGGGTAGAAAACCAAACCTTAACCTACATGTGTTTCCAACGCACACAAGTGCATATTTACAGACTCAAGAGCCTCAGATCCTGAAGTTTATTTTTTGACGTGTGGACTAGGCCCTAAGGATTGCTTGATATCAGACGGGAGAAGGCAAAAGTCTTTAACACAGTATTTGATCTCAAACTGCAACTATATTAAATTGTGACTGACCACAGTCAGCTCTCCTGTAAGACTCTCCTAGAGGTGTTCTAACCAGCAGGCTCTGCTTCAAAGTGTCAATTATATGTCTTTTGAAAATGAGGTCAGCGCAGAGGGAGGTTTAATTGAGAAACAGTCGTCTTTATGTGTGTGGATTAGCTTTGAAGCTAGGTCAGACACAGACTGCCAGACATGCTCAAACCAACGCTGTGTTTAAGGAAAGATTGATTCATGTCTGAAGGAGAGAAGGGGAGAGGAGAGGACAGAGACACCATCTGCAGACATGTTGTCCACACAGTGTCCTCTGTCTGTGAGCAAACAGATCCGGTGTCAGCGGGTCCCACGGCCGTGTTTGCACGCTCGCTTTGGCCCTGCGCCTGTGACCACTGTGGTGCTGCGGCAGCCGCCTCATGCAAAGTTTTATGGACATGGTGTGTTTTTTGTGTGGCTTGTGGTTCTCTACCCACTGCTTATTGACTGTTAGCTTCAGTGTAGAGTGCACCCTCACAACAAATATCGAGTCATTTGAGTCAGATGCAGCCGTCAAACACGATTTCTCCATAAATGAAGGCTGTCCGCGTTGTGTGCCCTTGCTTGTGCTCGTGCGTGTGCCAATGCCAAGGAAGTGTACCTTGCTTGAGCACAGATCTGAGCACTCACACTAGTCAAACAAACTGGACTTTAGGGGTGAAGTTACGGTAAGGATTGCCTAGCGTGAGTGTGTCCTTAAACTCTCACCTTTGCCCATGTGTAATCGAAGAGGGATTAACAGAACTGGTCAACACAAGTGCTAACATCTAGGTCAGTGTGTTATTCTAGTAAATGTAAAGTGTTTTAGTCTAAATAACTTGTATCGCTGCACAAGACAATTCATAAGCACATCTATTTAAGAAAGCTGTTGGTTTTAAGTTTGTCTTGAACAGCTCATTCAACTCATCTTCCGCGGGTTTATCTGATAAACGTCAAAGTGTGACTTAAGAAAAACAATGCTGCAGCTCCTTAAAAAGCAAACATTATTTCCTTCTTTTTGAATGCAACATAGGAGATTTACGCTTGATATTAATCTGCAATTTCCATAAAAGCACAATGGAAAAAGTCATGGTTGGAGTTAGGAAATGCAATACTGTTAAACTCATTCATGCTTGCAGGAAAAGCGGCACAGTTCCCATGTACTGGTCCCGCTATAGGGAGGAAGTCTCGCACAAAGCCTGTTTACCATAATGTTTTCTGTTCTGGCTCCACTGGAGAAAATGATGAGGATTCATATCACACAATGAAGCATTGATGCCTGAATTTTCAGTCTGGAAATTCTTAGGCTTTTGTATCTGCTTTACATATTTCTCTTATTCTTTTAACCTACTTTTCATCACTTTTTTCTCCAGCTCCTTTTCCACGTTGCCTCGTCTTATCGCCTCTTCCAGCCCTCTCTTTACCATTTAGTCTTGTTTCTCCTTTTATCCTTCTTCATCACTTTTCTGTATAAATCTCTCCCTGTCTCCTTGCCACTAACCACTTCTCCTTTATGTTTCCGACATCTCTCGCGCTCTAGTCTCATCTTTTTAAATCTCCTGTCATCTATTACTTTAGTCTTTTCTCTACCTCATCCTTCCCTCTTGCCATTTATCTCCCACACTTTGAAATGCTCCACTGTCCATTGTCCCTTACTTCACTCTTACCAGCATCTTCTATAACCCTTTACACACATACTCTCCTGAAAAACTCCGGAGATTTGGCTACCCGGAGGGGATTTAGGCTATGTGTGAACGCAAACAGCCGCATTTTTTCGCGCGGACTTTACTCAAGAGTTTCTCCTGCCAGGCCCCTAGTATTTTTTTCCGCAGAAAATCCGAGTGAGCTGATGTCTGAACGCGGCAGCATATACTCTGTAGATTTCAATTTGAGCCAATGGAAAGAGAAAGACGTTTATACAGTGACTGCCTTAAGTGTCTGCACGCGACCACTACGATCTCGGGGCACGTCATTAAACGGCTGCATTATATTTTCTGTTCGTCAGTATGTTGTTCTCCTCTCTTTTGTGGATGTTGTCATTACATTGGATTACCCATAGCATTGATATAAAGGCAAATATTCTCATTATAGCAGAAACCCCCCCCCCCCCCCTCCTCACTGTCTCCAACTGTGAGGAGCATATGTGAACGGCTAGGTCGAGAGAATCTCCGGAGAAGTCCTCCTGTAAATATCTAGATATTATCCGGAGTGCATATGTGAAAACGGCTATAGTGAGACATCTGGCTCTGGTTATTGTCTGATCTGGAGAAAGGGCTGGGGTGGGATGGAAGGCGGAGCATCTGACTCTGGCCCAATGCAAATCCAAAAACACTATAGACAAGTCAGCAGAGACAGACTTCCAGCAGGAATGCTGGCAGGGCAACTACGGCAAGCAGCAGGGGATGTGAGGGACACACCCTGCCTCCTCCAGATATCAGTTTGCAGTCATCTCTCAGTCTATTTGAATATTTTGAACCTATTATGGCACTGTTACAAATCCTAACCCTGGTAGATGAAAACATTCCACTCTCTAATCTTAACAAGTTATGTGTGTCGTCACTTCTGTACACTATAAATTGATCTAGTCACACAAAATATAAAGCAATTCTTAAATTTAAAATTACAATTTCTCCTCCTCATGTAACGTGACTCCCTGCAGTCAGATTAGCTTGTATGGTGTATGCACTTTTACCTGCTCTCCACAAAATTGATAACAGCTGAGCAAGTCTGAGATAAAGCAACACAAGCAGGTCAGCAGTGTTTATTTGACAACTGTGTGTAGGGATAGTTTTGAGTTGAAAATGCTGAAAAGATATCCGCAGTTTTTTAGTTGATAGGTACAGAAAGACGTGAGAAAGCTGCAGACAATGAGACCGTCTTATCTTGGATTCCCACACTCCAATGTCAGGGGTCTGCGCTCTTATCAACTGCTATGGCAGACAGACAGGGAGGTAGAGTGTCTTAAATCAGTCCCACCTCTGCTCTCGCCTGCTGAGATTCAAGCAACAAAAACAGGGCTCCCACGCTTCTCTTTTCAAAATGTCCTTCTTCACTTACGCCCACAATGGCATTCTGGATGTTACAAATCATGTTACTTCTGTTGGAATACAAAAGGGGCATTATCAGGATTGTAGCAGCTACAGGAGCAATACCCAAGGTTATCAGGCTAACCAGAACCATCAGCGCAGGCTCCTTGAGACCCACTGGCCTTCAAATGTAGAAAACTGATGAGCCTCTTCTGTCTTAATTTAACATGGACTTAGTTTTGGCTTACAGCTCTAGACATGGAAATTGTACAAGACGAGTCAGATACATTTCTTCTCTTCCATAGTACAGAATCAGAATTGGTTATCAAGTAGTACCGTACATTTACACACATACAAAAAAACTTGACTTGTTTTTTGTTGCAAAAACAATTAGTAAAGAAATAAAGCAAAAACAGTTAAAAGTTATAAAACAGAAAGTATTCATGCTGACAGGGAACATAAACAGAAAATAAAAAAATATATAATAGTATATAAAAACACAAAATGTACTAAAGGTGCAATGGCAGAGCTGTGCAGTTCTGCATATGTTCTGCATACTATTGTTTTGTAGTTGACAAACCTGATATTAGAAGTCATGCACCTTCTTGATTTTGATTGGTCAGTGAGGGAGAAGTGAACACAGCGCCAGCGCTGTTCCAAATGTCGTACTTTTTTCAACTGTGAGCGCTGAGGGTGCAGCAAAAACAACAAAACAGCTGACGCTGAGGGAATTTTTGCACTACGGACACTTCGAGTGCTGAAAATCCTTGACTACATCGGTTTTGTTTTGAAAATGGGCACTGCCAGGGCAAAAAAAAAAACGGCAACAGGTCCTAAATTGACTTGCATTTATTTGATCTTTTTTCCCACTAAAAGGTTGAAAGACCACCCATCACAATTCTACGGAGCCCTAAACAATGCCTTGATTGTTTTCTTATGTTCAGATCAACTCTAAACGTTTGATCTTAAAAGATTAGATTAATTTTTAAACATCAAAAAGTGTTGTTTTTATGGTTAAAACCTAGCAAGAATTCTCCATTTTAGCGTGAAAATGTATGAAAAATTATCAATTGCCTTCAGTCAATGAACTCATTGATAAATAGTAACAGAGCCTAGGCATGAACACTTTACAGACTATGCATCACTTTGAAGGGGTGTCGTATGTTTCATAGTTCTATGGGAATCAAATGGACTTCCTGTAGTTTGCTGATCTGGTCTCTCATTGTGTGGATGCACAGAAAGACAATGGAGAAGGACTAAACAGACTTTGTGTTGGTTTTAACAGAGTGGGACACAATGGATTGTTGTTCCTTCGCAGTCAATGGGGAGGAGGTGAAGAACAAGAACAACTGAGAACGGCTTGTTAAAACAAAATTCCTGCACGCGTGTTATTCTAATGATTTGGGACACCGTGGATTTTAGTAACTTTAGCAAAGCTGGAGAACAGACGGTGGAATATGAGATGTCATCAAGTGACCAAAGTTAAAGAAAAAGTTGTGGAAGTGTGTTTTTAAACACATCCGTTCATGATGAGAATCACTATTTACTGAGTTGTAAAACCACATCAAAGTAGTGTTTATACAGCATGTTAATAAGTTAACATTTATCTTGGCAATATTGGGGCTGACAAATATTGTTTTTTATCAATATCTTCGTACTTTGTCAAGGTCACCTTTAAAAGACTGAAACCTCTGTACAAACTGCCCTAAGTGCTTAATGAAAATATTTAAATTCCAAACAATCAGAAAACCCAGAGGATTTCATGCCCAGACTTATGTGATTTACAAATATTTACTCTTAAGAAGCTTTAAACAATAAATATGGCCAGGTTTTGCTTAAACAAAATCCCTTACCTTGGAAATTGATAATTGGTATGTTTCTGAACTTTCTGTTTCTCTGGTCTTTAGATTTGATTTTGCACTATAAAAAGCGTCTTACTTTGCTATGTATCAAACATAGTAATGTGACAGCCCAACAGTCAGTTGGCAGTAGACCTTTAGTCTAGTTGTGTCCACACTGAGCTTGATTTCACCTCTACTACAAGAGGTAAACAAATGTGCTCATACAACTGTACAGCTGCCACGGCTGCTGTCACTGTATCCACTTGGCCAACCGCACATTAATTGTTAATGAAGCAGCATCAGAAGGCTGACTTCATAGGGCTCAGTGATCCTGTATCAAGAGTTGGCAATTATCATATGATTGCTCATGTAAATTTAGCATTGGGGGAAGGGGGGCTGATTCTTTGATCTGCAATAATGTGTGATCTCTGTAGGAAATGCAAAAAAAAAAACTGTTTGCAGGGGCAGGAAAATAGCCTGCATTGGGTTTATTGCCGATATAAATACAGATTTTAGAAGGAAAACTTACCTTTTGACAAGCTACACCTGATTTAGTGAATATTTAAGTTGCCATTTAAATTGGCATACTGATTGTGCACCAATATGACAGTGTTGCATTAGTCAGAACAATTTAAAGATTATTTCACATAATTATAACACTGAAAAACAATTCCAGCACAGACTGCGCTTTACTCATCTGACTGTGATCGTCTGCTACTTGTGCTGCAAACATATTTTGCTGAAAGTATTGCAAACGAAAGCGCCAGAGTAGGACATGCTGGACAATCACTGTGATGACATCAGCATTTCTCAGGGCGAACGAACCCAAGGATTGTTTTCTGCATTTTAGTGTTCTGTTAAAAGATGTTTCTGCACGGTGTCTCTCGTGAAAACAATGTGCTGATCCTGATAAATCCCGATGAACTTAGAAGTAGACGATGTGTGGTGGCATTTTGGAATCTTCATTTACTTTTTTTTTTTTTTTTTTTTACTTGTAAGGTCCATTATTATTTCAAGTGTTTAAAAGCTTTAGGAGGCTGTATTTGGGATGCTGCTGAAACAGATGTATGTGGTCCACTATGAGGTGTTTCTATATGAGATCTAGGGACTGAAATAAGCAAAACCCAAAGCTCCTACATGCTAGAGTGTGTTGTTTTTCTCTCAGCGTTATTCCCTAATTATATTGGGAACTTCACACAAGTATGATCACACGTGTTTCTGGTGTGACTTTTTTTTTAAGTTGTAATTTAAGTGTCACAGCCCTTGTCAAAAGGCAAAAGGACAACACTTGGTGTATGGGATGCATTTTCACCACTTGCCACTGATTCTAAACAGGCACATGATGTGATGCAACAACACAATGGGGAACTTTCACAAGAGGAAGCAGCTCATGCCACTCATTCAACTTAACCCTTGATGTCATTTAGATTTGGGTTACTTTTCGACACTGAAGCAGCAAAAGTAAGATGGATTCACTGTACCTCCCACCGGCCGTAGGTCAAGAAGAAGAGGGAGAAGGGGATGGCAGTGCCCGACATGGCGTGGGTGGAGGGCATGCTGTACTCCGAGTTGTAAAACATCTCCACTTTGACCACGGGAGGTGAAGCGGGTCGAGACCACCCGATCACATCCTTGGTGCACTGTCCGAGGTACATGACCCACACCCACACCATGATCAACCTCCTGCTCACGAAGGCGTCCATGTTCCACATGATGAAGGGAAAGAAGGTGATGTAGAAGAGCTCGTTGCCCAGCTCGGTTCCGAAAGTGAACATGTAGTACAAGAACCGGTTCTCGATCAGGAACTCCTGCCCGGCGTCGCCCGTCAGAGAGTTTTTGCGGAGGGGTTTCACAGTGCTGCTTCCAGGGGGTCCCGGGTCTCTACTGCCTTTATCTGTTATCGTCTCCTCCGAGTCGGTCCCGGCTACAATTCGACCGTTCCCCCCGACAGCGACCGTCTCTCCCGCGGCGGTCGCTGCAGACACAACTGCCCCGTTCTGAGGGGCACTTTCATCGCCCTCCTCCTCCCCCCCCTCATCATCATCATCATCATGGTTTTTCGCGACATTAGAGTCGGCAATCCTCTTCCGAAGCCCCCCTACAGTCGTTTGCACTTTCTCTCCTTCTCCAGCTCCCATGTTTTCCCTTTCACGCCCCCCCGTGCTGTGATGATGGCAAGCCCCGTTGTTGTGCGAGTGAGTCCGGTCTGCTTCCTTGCTGCTGTCGACGCTTCTAGAAAAAGTCCCGTGTACCCCACAAATGCGCTGAAAGCGGGCGACCAAGTGGGGGTCTTGTAGATAGTGGAACATCTCTACAAAACGGTTACTTTTCTCCATGTTTAATCCAGTTTACTCCTCCCCCCCACCACCCTACACACACACGGCTGAATCCACTACTTCCCCCCCCTGAACAGTGGATGATGAACGCTAGCTCTTACGGCTAACGATAGCTAGCTTTCCCTGGAAATCATGGCAGAGTGTGCTGCTGAGAAGTGAAACCGAGCCGCTTTTAACAACTTGAGAAGTAATGGCGACGAGAAGTATTATTTTAAGAAACGATAAAATGTTTGTTTTCAGTCAAACGGCAAAAAGGATAAAAGCGAGCAGGTCGGGTAAAGACCGAGTCCAGATGCGTTCAGTGTCCCGCTACCTGAGTGGTGTTCTCTACAACTGACAGATCTCCTGAGCAGTCCGGGGAGCGCGCCTTCTCTGTTGCCTTCAAGTGCTGTGGGAAAATTTACTTACAGTCTATGGTTAGGACATTATACTGAAAATAATAGGGACATTCAGCGTGTAAGTATACTTCCTCTAGTTAAAAAGAACACATTCAAACGCTAGTTAATTTACAAAATGATAACGTTTACTGAAAATAATAATTCCAAACAAACATAATACCAGCAATTTTTTTTAAAAATACAAATCAAAACAGGGTATTAACATCTAAACATGACCTACCTTGAGTCTTTTGTTTGCATTTTTCATTAGGAAAATACAGAAGACTATTGGGGTCAGACTTAAGAAATAAATAATGAAAGGAATATTTTTTTTCCCCCGTTAAGCCCTTCGTGAAGAAGTCAAAATGTGGAAGGAAAAAAGTCAATATGTAGGTAATACACTAAGAATGTATGTATTTATTGTGTTAAAGCAAGTTTTGAGGTTTAAAATCAGGAAATGATTTATTTATTTTTTGCCTTAGGCTTAGACCTCATAGCATTGAGTGTTTATTGCATGGCCTTGCGAACAGTCTTTACATTTCACTGCACATCTGTGTGAGCATGTGACAAATACAAATCTTGAATCTTGAATCTTGAATTCCATACTGGTCCACTTTATGATACTCAATAGTGAAGAGATGTTTGGGTTTATCGCTCAGCACTTTGGAGAAAGTTGTTACCCATCATTTAAAGTTTTTTTTTTTTTTTTTTAAATGGATATGGAGAAAAATTATGCAAAACATACAATAGGAATATTTGTAATTAAATAAACCTTCAGAGCTGGGGTAAAGGACGACAGAAGTGTTTCTGAAGCTCCGATTAACGTTTTCCCACAGTGATGAATGATGGCATTACATTTTATTCATTAATCAGGACTTTTAAGAATCAACTTATCTTCATAGCTAAACATAAAGGTTTTTTTTTTTTTTTTTTAAACCGTGATAATGTTCGGGTTCTTTCGAATCCATTGAATGCAAAGGCGCTCAAAACAACTTTATTTTAAATGAAATAAAAGCAGGGTCTTGAAAAAATGTCTTACAATGAAGAATATAGATAATTTTGTCTCAAACTGCCCTTTAACGTTGTTCCCAGATGGGATTGGTCTTTTTTTTTTTTAAATCTAAACGCTTACAGTGCATTGAAGACATTTAGGGCAGGACTCTTCAAAGTTTGAGTCAGGAAGAAGCACTTGAAGGCAACAGAAGTTCCGGCGCGCACGTATAATAGATTAGCTCGAAACGTCACGCCGTAACGTGACCGCGCTTACTCTGTTGCCAATTTTTGTGGCACGATTTTCTCTACCAACAAACCCCCCAAAATCCAAAATATGATGCTGTTAATTTTATACTAAGATAGATAGATACTAGACAGATAGACAGACAGGCAGACAGACAGATAGAAAAAAGGCAACAAAGCACATCAAAACATTGTCACCTTACATCCTTTATTGATAATCAATCACCTGAAAAAAGTTTGATGTCCCTTTTTCAAAATAGTTTTTCTTAAATATGGAATAAGCATTTTCATCAAAATATAAATTCCTGTTTTAAAATATCAAGATTCTCTTTCATAGTTGCGTACAGTATCTTGTTGTTGCTGTTTGTCTTTTTAACTTTGCAGTGATTGTTATCAAGATGCACATTTTCAAACCCGCTTCACTCTTGGACAGAGACTGGACACGAAAACACACTGAAAAAGGATGAATCATTGATCGACTTGTCATAAAGCGAGGTCGTCAGTTTCATAAGAAACACGTTTTCCCTCTGACAAGATAACAGCTGCTGCTGTAAATTAGACTGGTCAGAATATGAACTGAATTATCTGTTTAAAGACATTCTTCTTTCTGATCTTCTGCTGAGGAGACTGATCATTTTGTTTGGTTTTTAACCACAAAGACGCAAAGCTTCGTTTATTTTATCGTGTCCCTTAAAAGTGAAAAAAGAAAGAAAGATTATTACCCTTTTCAGTGAAGCTTTATTTCAACTACCATATTTGGTATTAAAGCAATTAACAAATGTTTTTTAAATGGTTTGAAACACACTATTATGAAGTTGTAAAAAAAACATTTTGAGTGTTCATTAATGTGCAGATTTAGTCAACAATTAGTGTCTCTTGTGAAAACTTATTTCACATTTTTATACTTTTTTTTCTAAATTGTCTTCCATTACACACCAGCTTCCACACTTAAAATCTTCTTACAATTGCATCAAAGTGTGACACGCCATTAGTTCAATGTTTATATGCTGCCTGCACGTGCTGAATAGGGTTAATTCACATCTTCTCATTCACTTGAACTGTAAGGTTTTAACCATAGATTCATTTATTCACCAGCAGAGGGCAGCAACGTGATGCAAAAAGAAAATAACAGACAGCATATAAGAAAACAGGACGTCAAATACAGAGGGGGAGAAACAGTCTTTCCACAGGCAGTTAATAACCCTCAGAGAAGGTAAGCTCTCGAGATAGCTTGACAATTCACACAGCCCAGGGAATATTACTCAGAATATTTCATAAATCACACAATAGCATAAAAAGATAACAGAAGCTTATCAGCAAAAATTCTCCAAGCAAGCCAAGGTGCATCAAAAGTAGCCTGCAGTCTGTAAATCCCTGAATATGCTCACGATTCACATGAGCAACAAAAACAATAAAATAAAAATCAATAACACAACATCAACAGCAAAAAATCCTGCCTGCTTCTGGTCTCTCAAAATTATAATAAATGGCAGTGACGCTGCAACAGTTTGCATTTGACATCAACATTAAAGACCCTGTTGATCCGGAAGAAGAATCAGGGCTTTTTAGGTCTCTCATTCCACCGCTGAATCTCAGCAAGGTGACAAGTGGAGGTTACATCCTGGCAACAAATAAAGCAGACCCCACGACACCTGTCCCTCAGAATAAGTGAAAAACGAGGGACACAGTACACGTCTGCATGCCAGTAACATGTGCAGATGTTTATTCCCCAGCTGTTAACAGAGGCATGACACTGAAGACGGTTCAGTCACCCATTGTCGTCAAGATTGTACAGGAGGACCTGGTTGGGGGCGAGGCCTGGGCAGGTACCAAGGCTGTACAGGTATCCAGCTGATGGGTAACAGGGCACCAGTCGGTAATGCTGCAGCTCCTCCAGGCCAAACGCAGGAGAACAGCAGTCCATCACAAGCACCTTCACCCTCTTTCTGTCAGGGTACAACAGCCGCCCCGGCCCCCTCTCCCCCACGATGCCACCTTCTTCCTCTTCTTCTTCTTCCTCTTCTTCCATTTCTATGTTATCATCATCTTCTTCATCTTCTTCCTCCTCATCAGCCTCCAGCTCCTCCTCCTCATGGTGGATCTTCCTCAACAGGTTGTTGATGAGGACGGAGCGCCGCAGGTAGGCCTCCGGGTCCTCAAGAAACCTCAGCTTCTCCAGGGACAGCTTCAGGATGCAGCCCCGGTCCTCCTGCAGTATCAGGTGCTGCAGATGAAAAAAAAAAAAAAAAACAGACAGACAGAGTTGAGTCAGTGCTTTCGCATCATTATTCAACACAGTTTAAATCAATAGCAGCTAAGAAGGGGAATACAAGATGAGTAAGCTTGGATTGAAGCTTGTATAGATAAAAGTGTTACAATCAAAGCTCCAGTACAAAAGAACATTAGATCAGATCGTGATAATTTCACTACACAATACATTACAAGAATGCAAATATTATCTCAAGGGAAACAACTCAAATAGAGATAGAGACTACAAATATTTTGAAATTTCTTTGGCTTTAGGAAAACTCAAGGTCAAATCGATAAGAACTCAGTTAATTATCAAAATCATGTCGGAATAGCTGTGAATAAGAGAAGAACTGGTAAGAAACGAGCTAGCTGATTTGTCTTTCTCATGTCTTGAGAAATGTTTCCCGGGTTAATGCCTGAGAATTAAATCCTTGTATTTCCAGCATTTACAACATTTATGGTATCGCAGCCCTATTCAAAATTCTGCCAAAGGAAAAACGCTAGAACACTATTTATCAGCTGATAATCCATCATTATCTGCTTAGTTTTAGTCACCATTATTTCCTGTACACAAACAGGCAGAGAATGTGGCAGAAGCAGAAACTATCTACATCACTAGCATAGAAAGAGCACTGTCAACTAGCGATTGAAGGCAGTGTGCTGCAGAGCTACGCAGAAACACCAACACACAAGTATGTAGTGCTCATGACGGCGCAGAAACAGCGTAAGAGTTGATGCAGAAGTATAAACCAGGCTTTTGCCCAGTTAGCTTAAATTCATAACCTTTCATCTTGTTTCACCTTCTGTTGCTAGGCTCTTATATTATGTTTCTCATTCTATTTTATTCTTTTCAAAGACCATGCGGGAGGTTATTTTGTTTTGACCAGAAGCAATTTGTGACATTAGCCACCACGTAAGCTAATGAACTAGTCTTTCAATATATCAAAACTATTTTTTTAGTTTGTATTTGTTTAAACTAAATGGTATATTCACTTGCGCTTCTACTAGCTAGTACTAGACACTCTATCCACATTTTTTATTTACATTCACAATTTTCTTATTGGCTCTTTTGACTCTCAAACAGATTAACCAAGGGACCATCATTGAGTACACACATCTGTAGTTGAATTATCACCAGACAAAATCTTTCTCTGACAGTCATTGGATTACAGGTGGAGATTGTGATTTGGTATTTTGATGTCTCTTCTGTCATGAACAGAGAGGTGTCATTGCATAGAGGCTGACAAAGTAAACCTATTATCAGTAACTCTTTTGTATCTGGGTGAAAGAAGCTAAAGGACACAAAGGACAGCATAACAAGTGAAAGGACTATAATGAGAAACAAGCACTGATGTAGGAGATAATGAGTGTCAAGGATTAAACAGGAACCTGAGAAGGACAAGGAATAAAGAAGAGATTCATACTTTTTGAAAATATCCATGTAGGCCTCCGTGTAAATCCTCCTCCTCCGCATATTTCCTCTTGAAGTAAGCAACTTTCGACGTTGTTGAATGGTTTGTTCTCTCTCACAGGGAAGGAGCAACTGGAGGTAACAAAACAGAGATTACACTTCATGTTTAAAAGACGGAATGCTGGAAATAAAACACTTATTTTTTACCCGACACCCTCAAGAGCAAATGTGTTTAGGTTTCTGATTTCCACTCTGAAGGGGCTAAATTAAATGTTTTTGAACTTTGGGTTTTCACAGCGGCAAAAGTTAACAAAATTATATTGACAAAGAAACCCAACTGTTGCACTTGAGACTCAATAAGCAAATAAGTAGAGGATGAATTCATTAATCCCCTTTAGAAAGAAGAACTATGAGATTAACCACATTTCAATGCTCAATAATCAAACAAGGGCTGAAATTGACACCATTATTTATTTTTTATTCAAATCAATCCTCAAAAGCTGTCCTATGTACAGTCCTCTAAATTGTTGATTGTAATTCTTGACCTTTGATCCATTAGTTTTACAAGACATTAAGGCCCACTTCTCTGCTTTATTTTGAGCTTTTGGGTTAAAACTACAAACAGTGAGAGTCTGCAGTGAAACATGATTAATGAGGGTTTTGGGGGCTGCCTTTTAAGCTTCAGTAATCCATATCCAAGCCTGATTAATCCATATCACTCCCTGATAAATCCATATCAATCCCCGATTGCGTAATGTGACAGGTGCCCCTGCTTGCAGTCATAGATCTAATAAGGAATACCACTAAGCTTTTAAGATCACCGCGGCTGAACTTTGTTGCATCTTCTGACTCAATGTTTTGGTGTTACAGTAATCAAACCCCTTTGTTTTCAATCACATAAGACATTAGTCTACCATTGTGTGCTTTTTTTTTTTTTTTTTTGGTGCCTTTAATATCAAGGCAATACATGCGTGCTTTCAATCAGACAGAAAGGCAATATTAAAAGACACGTAAATCTGATTTTTAAAGCAGTCAAAAAAAGTGAAATGCATGAAAAAATAAGATATGATAAAATTACACAAATTATATAGAACACAAGGTACATTTATTAAAAGGCTCTGAAACAAGAAAGGTTAAGCCCAATTTTGAAGCCTTGAAATGTGGAGCAGATTATTGACGTTTATACATTTTCTTAATTTGTTTTAGACATGTGAAGCATAGAAATTAAAACTTGCACCATCTAAACGAGCATGTAGACCTGTCCTTTAGAGTTTCTTTCATTCTTATCGCTCTTATTAGCCAGTGGCAGCTATAAGCAGCAGATAAAAGCTCTGAAGAACCCCCTTTAAACTACTTTACAATAAGATTCACAATGGCACAGTTGGTGACAAGCTTGCGAGGAAGATGGAGCATGAGCAGCAAAAGTGTCTGACATTTTTCTGAGCACATTGGAGTCCAAAATTGAGATGGAAACTGATAATGTGATATTGAAATAAGCTGATACAACATATCAGACTTTTGGTACCTTTTTGTGTTGTATTCAAGTGAAAAAGCGTATCTAAGCTTTAAATAGTGGCCCATATTTCCACCTGCTTACAATAAATCCTCAATGGTTTACGAAATGAAAGTTAAAGGGAACTCTGTGAAGTCACTGAGGTAACGGATAGAAGCTCTGATTACCTGCTGCTGATGGTTCCACAGCCGGCACTCAGCTCTCTGACTGGAGTTTAAATCAGTATGTCTGAGTTGATCTGAGCCTCCACATCGCCTTCAGGCTCCTGCAGGAAACACAGAGACAGATGAGTGAGTGAGGAGGAGGAGGAGGAGCAGCAAGAGGAGGAGGAGTACACAAACATCTGAGAATCAATGCAGAAACCAAACAAATAGCTGAAAGAAGATCGGAGTAAAAATCTGTCGAAGTTGCCATGCTTTGATTTGATGTTTTAAATTTGGGTCCAAAATGTCATCTTTGCAACCTGGATGTACGTTTCAATATCGGATACTTGATACTTATGCAAACGAGGATAAACATTTTGTAAATTGCTTTGTTTTTTTTTTTCAATTGCAAACTTGAAAACTGTTTTCATTTTCAAAACAGGGAATTTGAAATGCATTTTTTCGTTCACAATGTATGGCCTTCGACATGTTGACAGTCTACATGACAGCTGAAAGCAGCTCTCTTGGTAAACGACACACCATTGCAATCAACAGGAATGTAACTATGCCTGTGCACCTGCAAGCACGGAAAACTTAACAAGCAAAAATGCTTAACATGAAACTTAAATCAAATGGGAAAAAAAGGACGATATGCAATGAGAAATAATGTTTAGGAAACAAAACTGGTCAAATCTATCTCAAAATAATGACGGACCACATAAAAAAAGAATAAGAAAATATCATTTATCTGTACGAAATGTGATTTATCAATTACCGCAAGACATTTTTTAGACCAAATCTGCATTTGACCATAGATATTTCTGTATTGAAAGCACACACAAACATGCACTGCTGTATAATATCCTCACATGACCCTCTGATGTTGCTGCATTAAAGGGCAAGAATCATCTTTGAATTCAACATGAGGAAGGACAGATGAGAGGGTGGTCTGTGTGCGGGTCTTCATACGCGTGCGAGTGTTTTTTTGTTGCGAGTGGTTTGATTGTAATCCCAAATGCCATAAATCAATCAATCACTTCATCATAAACACAGAGTGGGAAGGTTTATCATTGCGCAACACTCGCGTCGGCTCCCCTGAAGCTGGCGCGGTGACTCACACAATGTTTAACATCCAACTGCAGCCTGAATATTTCATCTGTGGGAGAATGATGCACGATGATGGATACATGAAGAGAGGGAGGCTGCGTGGGAAGAGTGTGTGTGTGTGTGTGTTTTGATGCAACACTTGCTATAAATGCTCTTCTGCAGAGATTTCCACTGAAAACAAAAGTATGTTCAAACAGAAGGTCATGACTGAACAACACCTTAAATTGCATTTAAATATATTTAGACTGGTAAGAGATTTGCATGAAATAGGAAATATTTAGGGTTAAATATTATAACTCATATTTGAACAAAGAAGGAGACTTTCAGTTTCATAGTGTCACCAGAATATCAACTTTTATGAGCTAAGAAAACAACCCTGATATAAGCTTAATGATACTTTAATGTAGAATAAAATGGGGGAGGGGTTTGTTTGTGTTTTTTTGCTTTTTGTTTTACATTAATCACACCATAATCAAAAACATTTTGCAAAGACTTTCCCTGCACAGTAATGCCATTTCTTTATTCAAGATAATCTTTTCTATTTCTTTTTTTTTCTTTTATGGTCTTTTTCCTTTAGTGTTTTATACCTGTATATGATGTTTCAATGCATTTCTTCACCTTTGCTTCCTTGTTTATAGTCTACAGATAAACTTCCTAATGCTAAGCTAAGAACCGAGTAGCTGCTGTGTTTAATTCTAAAATTACCTCGAATAAATCCTGTAAATGCCTTTTGAAGCGTCTTACCTATAAATAATTCTGTCCAGCAGCAGCAGCGGGTCAGTAAATCCCAGTTAAAGCCTCTTCCTCCGTGGTTTTCCTCCGCTCCTTGGCGCGACATCTACCGTCCTCAACACCGACTCAACGACGCTCCAGCTCGGTGTGAAGTCTGTGCTTTCGTCGGTTCCTGCAGACACAGCCAACCTCTGAGCTCCTCCGGGGTGAGCCGCTCTCTGCTCCCCAGCCTCCTTAAAATATCTCGTTCACAGCAACAAGACACAACACACACCGCTCTGCGCGCGCCCTCATTGGTCCTCGCGGAGGCTGATGTTTCCTGTTGCTAGGAGACTGAGTAAGTACGGTGATGACGCTGCAGCATCAATCCTGGTCTACCTGCATTCATCACTGCCTGCTGTGTGATGGGTTTGCCTTCTCCACAGCAATATAAATAACTATTTACAATTTTTCTGAAAAATTAAAAATATAGGCTACATTTAAAAAGTAACAATAAGACAGTTCTTCAATGCAGCGTACTTCATTGACAATTTTCAATTTAAAAAAAAAATGAATGAAGTTTTAAAAAAAAGGATTTTAAAGTTTTATGGGTAAACTGAAGAACTGACTCCCAGAAAAATAACAATATAGTCAGATGTAATAAGTCGAAGCAAGGCAGATAGTTTGATATTATACCTGTCCATTCTCTTCTTAAAAAAAAGATTAAAGGTTAAATGAACACTTGATACTATACAGCTAAACAGCCACACAAACATGCAGGAATCCATGGTTGTAGGTTAAATAAAAAACAAAATCCAGAGCATCTGTTACCAAAGACCTGGCTTAACTCTCCTAAAATACTTTTAAGAAACCACAAAATACTTTCCCTAATCTCTTATCCACTTTGTGTGAGTTCCTGCTTGAAACTGGAAATCTCTACTACTAATCACACAGGGATAAACTGTGTTTTTGTTTTTGTTGTTAAATTTGACCTCATCTTCAGGATTAAGACATCTCAGAGCAGAGCTCAGGATTGGGACGAGGAGAACAACTCAAGAAAACAGATGGCAGACAGACGTTCCCACAGCAGGGATCTTCTGGGTTTTATTGGCAACGACAAAACTTGGTACAAAAAGTGCTTTTTGGGTGCTGTTGGGGCTCGGCATGCACGGCCAGGACCAGGGCTGAAGTACTGCAGTCTCTATAAGATGCAAAATATCTACAGTCTCTAGTGATAGTGTCCAAATCCAGTCTGTTTAGTTCACATGTTCCACTTCTGATATCAATGAAGCTCTAAGAAGATCTAAGACTGTAAGGGATTTACAGAAAAGGGAAAGGGGAATGGGATTTGTTTCTGTCATAATTCAATCAGACATATAAAAAAAGCAGGGAATTTTGAACAGAAATATGACAATATATTTCCAAATTTGACACAGGCTTATAACAGTAAGAAGAATAGTTCCAGATTTTGGAAAACTATCAATGCGACTTGCATGTTTGTGCATAGTATTGAGCTAGAATTGGAGGTTATTAATTCAGAGGATTATAATTTTAATCGGTATGTCTGCAATCTTCCACGTTTTTGAAATCGGTTAAGATTTGAAAATTGTGTAGTGTCTACCCAGCTTTATGTGGTCTGAGTGGGTCTTCTGCCCCGGTCCTGGCCTTGACATTAGGAGGCCTGACCTGTAATCACCGTCCATGCATGCAGTCCTACAGCAGCATTCACAGGGAACAACAAGAAGGCTTCATGCAAATTTGGATCATGTCTTTGTCATGGTGGATATGTTTCATCTCAAAATGTTACAGGCACTTCATCAGAGTATGTACAACAGTATTACATCTGCAGCACTATCTGATTGTCTCACATTTGTAATACAACCAGAAATCTCCAACTGAGCATGCAGACATGAAGTCTAAATATAACAAAAATACTGGGAAATATTTAAGAACACATTTACTATTTTAAAAAATATAGAGTAGATATTATAGAATCTGTACAACAACTCAACATGCATAAAATATACCAGTTTGTGCAGTAAATATAGTTTATGTCACTATTCACACTCACATGGATGAAGCCTGTAGAATAGGAGTGCTGATATTAAGTCTTGGCACAGGTCTTTAGACTCATCTGCCAAGGGAAAGTATAATGTAAGAGTAATGTGTTTAGATGAAAAAACTTACAAAGAAAGAAACACTTGTGTACTTCGCAAAAAAAATAGCATGGAGTGTTGTGCAACAAAATGCTTTTGACATTTTTGGTGGTTTATCTATGATTGTTGTTTCATTGAAATCCCACTGAAAATAAATATAAGTGTGATAATGTTGTAGTTTTATTTTCATCTGCGTTTTAAAAGATGAAACTGTACGCACCGCTGCTTTGGTTTTATTCAGCATGCTAAGTTTAGAAAAAGTGGGATAGCTAACTTGAAATGGGCTCATCCTTGGGTCATGTTTTTAACCTAAAGTAAAAGTTAAAAAAAAGTTCACTCCAGTATATCAATAAATAAACTAGTGGCTAACTTGCGGTCTTTGACACTGACCGAGATTTAACTCAGAAATCCATTATTTTGGTTTTGGAGCATTATTATACACAAAAAACAAAAGTAGTAAGAATAAAATAGCATTAAAAATAAGAAAGACTTTGGAGGAAAAACTATGGTACTATAAAAAGAAACATCCAGCCAGTTGCAGCACTCCTATTCTTCACCATATGCTCCATTTATACCTGAATTCATCTTTACGTATCTGAAGTTTAAACATGTGACATCCAGCATTTACAGTAAGTTTCCTCTTTTAAATGAATCCATTAAACTGTGCCCTTAAACATATTATTTAGGTTAGGTTCTTCGAATCCGACCTGTGGCTCCTTTCCTTCATCGAATTCCCAAAACTCTCTCATCCCGATTTCTGACTAGATACTCTGTCTCTCAAATAAAGGCATTAAAAAGCCTAAAAACACATCTTTCAAAATTTAAAATAAACGACCAAGTACAGTGTTGTTAACGCCTGGTATTAGCTAACACAACAAAAGCACTCCTGGAGGGGTCCATGTTGCTTTTCCGAATAGTTACCCACTCATAACTGGAAGGCGGTCAACTTGGGTGTAACATAATTCCCAGCTCTGACAAAAAAGTAAACGATACAAAGATAGAAAATATGTCAGAGAAAATTTAAGGGAAATAGACTTGAAAAGCTGCAACAGATTCTAAATCATTTCCTTTTGATGTTTTTGGTGCAGATGCAAAAACACTGACTCCTTGTCATGAACCTCGCACTTAAAATATCTCCAATAAATTCCTGAAACAAGAAGTAAAATCAGAAAATAGACAGTTCCAGTATTGTCTTCCTAGAAAAATCCAGTGAAGAAAAACAACCGCATTGATCATGTGATCAAACACCGAAGACAAACTAGGTTGTCCTGTCAAGCAATTCACGTCTAAAAAGTAAGTTTTTGTCACAACAGTTAAAGGCTGGGAAGAGGTGAAGTACTGTTACTGTGGTACAAATAACAAACGTCTATGCTGGAGCGGGCCAGGGAGAACAAAGAGGTGAAACGTGACATTGGGGGACTTTTCTTAACACCTGTGCCCCAACGAAACCTGACCATTATCTTTTCGTGACAGACACCAAGCCCATCTAAATAAAACGCAGTCATAGCAATGGCATCTGACAATCACAACTAATTACATCCGTATGGGATATTCTTAAGAAAAGGTCTGAAGGACATTGATTTCTACAACATCAGAGGACTTTGCAAAAATACTTTTGTATATTTAACAGTTCCGGGCTTTAAGGAGCAATGACTTAATGTTGTCCTTGTTTTAATTAAAGAGGATAAAAACAAGATCTGAACTGCTCAATGCCTATCAGGGATACGTATTAAAGGTTGTTTTATGATTTGGGTGAACTGACCCTTTATTTTCACATGAAGAATTTGAATACATGCATAGGCCCTCAGTTTATTTGTTGTGCTTGATTCTCTAAAAAGTAGTCACATTAAATTTGTGTAATTACATCTTGTGCCTTTCTGAGTGATTTTTTACCATTTCCTCCAATGACAATTGTACAGATGAGCTACATTCAACATTTCTAAAGAGGCTTAGCCGTCACCTGCCTGAGGAAAACCATCCAAAGACAAACAAACGCTCAAATAAACACATCTCTGCTCTCGTTGTGTGAAACCCTGAGGGGTTTGGAGCTACAGTATCAGTCGACACAAACAAATATAATCCCCCCTCCGGGCTGAACTGCGAGCCTTATGACTCAATGATGCTCCGACTGGAAGAGGATGAGCATTAGCAGCGGCATTACCGTCATCGCACTGTATCTGCAGCTGTAACTACCAATTAACCACAGAGCGAGAGTGGAGAAAAAAAACACACACTTCCAGGGTAATTCATTGCATGTTATTAACAGCTGCAGCGAGATATTTAAAGCCTCTTTTCAGCTCAGCATTGATGGGTGTTGAAATGAGCTTTGCCCTGTGAAGGAGATGGAGCGGGGGCCAAATAACATCATTCAGTGTCAAAGAGGCTGAAGGGAGGAGGGAGGGGAGCTCTTATCCCACCGGGGTTAAGAGTCTCCAGCTGCTGGTTTTTCCTGCCTGTAGTAGCACATGTGTCAGGAGAATATGAATGAGTGTTGAATATGAATGAGGCATCTTCCTACTCCACTTGAATCACAAGATATCTTCACTTCTACTCTCATGTTTGTTTCTCTACTCGATAGTCTTTGGATGCATGATTCCTTCAGTGGCAACACTGACAGTGACTTCATCATTTCTCCATCCATTACCTCATGTTTACACAGAGAGTCGTCATGTGGCAGTTTCTCTCTTCTGGTGGCATTCACTTAACTTTTAAGGTGTTTTTAACGTTGACTACAGTATTTACAAGCTTGTAGCAATGATGGTTTTCAGTGCACTGAAACTTTAAGGGATCGTTTTTTTGTGGGGATGTATGATGTTCTTGTCAGCAGTCAGTGTATTATATATAGGCTATACATTACTTAACAACCAAAAGATCAATGACGATCACTAGTTAAATACTTCCTTCTGTTCATTGAGACTATACCATACACTAGGAATGTGTATAAATAGAAAAGTTCTTGTAAAAACTGCCTAATACATTGCTAATAAAGAATGGGATAACAAGAAAAACGGCCCATGAATACCATGACAAAAAAACCGAGGTACATATTAAACTGTTGGCTGACTGAATTGTTGCATCCCTAGGAGAGATCCCAAGTTACATAGCAGTGCAAGTACATTAACGTGTCAGCTGTTGAAGAGGAAAACTAAGCCAGGCTCTACAAGCTCTACTGCCATTATTGCCAGATAATCATCTCAAACTGGGATGCGTTAATGTCAAAATTCTCAGTCCAAAGTTGACTTGTACACTTCAGTGTGCTGCAGGGTGACTAAAGTAGAGCTAAAAAAATATGGCTTGCTGATGGGTAAGTGCTTAAAATTTTCTTAATATAGTGTACACTCACATCGTCATAGATATTTACGTTATTTTTCTCTCAGATTGAGCTCAATAACTTGGTATAAATGACCCCGTCTGTAGCGGTGCATAGCCTAGCTTCTGTGCCCGCACTCCAAACGGTTTCTCCATAAAGAGGCAGACCAGCATCTCTGTCTAACACACTTACTGTCGACAGATATCTTATGCACTCCACTTCAAAAATACTGAACTATCCTTCAAAGAACTGTTCCTGTAATTTCTTGAAACTGTGTCTTATTTGTACAGGTTTAGGTGTGTGAACAGAAAGTTGGTTCAAAACTGCTTAGGTCACAGTGGTATCTCTGTTGTGATAAAAAGACTCAGATTGTTATTCAAAGTGTCTGACAACACAAGAGAGATGACGCCTTCAGTATCTAACGAGAAAATCAACTCTCATTCAAAGTGAATTGTAGCTTTAAAATTCTGTTAGTGAGGACACATGTTGCAGGTAAAGGAGAGTCAAGAAGGAGCTCAACATCAGGTGTCAGTTCAAACTAGCCAGTGTTTCTATTTGAAGATAATGATATATTTTAAATTTAAAGTTATCAAATGTTTCATCATTCCGCTTCCTGTTCGCATCAATTCCTAATTTTTGTGCATCTCCATTGATGAGACTGGAAGTTAAAAAAAAAGCACAACAAATACACCTCTAATTTGTGTGAGCTTTCTAACACCCCATTTCATTAGAACAACTAAAATGCAGCTGTACAGCCTCACAATAGCGCTGCTTTACTGATACAATCTGTGAGGGAAGGACACATTATCATGTCCTCCTGTAGGCTGAAGGACTTTCTATGAAGCTTTTTTTTAAATCAAAAAGGAGAAGTGATTTTCTGCACGAAACCTTTACATGCACCTTTATCTGTCATATCAGTGGACTTAAAAATGAAAGAATGAGCCCATGAGTGAATCCAAATTCAATGTCATCTTTTCATGCAACCTGGTCATAAGTCTTTCTTTCTTCCTTTCATGAATAACCTCCCAATTCATCATCAGTCCTAAACTTATTTCAGCCTTCAAAAGAAGATAACATTTCTACTCATATTTATAAAAAAAAAAAAATCAACCAGGTTTGATGTCCGTGAAGCTTTGGTAAGGACAATAGTGGAGACAGAGATAAGTCCTTGAATCCATCACATCTGAAACCCCATTTTTATCCTGTGCAAAGATCAAATCAAGGCGTTTCATTCTGCTATTCTTTCAGAATATATTTCCTTCCAACCTAAAAGAAAAATATCCTGGGACTTGTCAAAGTTATGCCTCCAGCAGGACGTGCCAACGGCAGACCTGCTGTCCTCGACCGTCCTTCATGTCCTGCCAGTGGAGCTGCTCCTCTTCTCCGCTGCTGTTCATGCCCAGAGCGATCCAGCCCACCATCTCTTTGCGCTTCATGCTGCGCCGGTTGAAGATTGACACCAGCAGCGTGACGTCCGACAGCTGGAACAGCGCCACCTGGAAGACGAAGGTCTCCTTGTAGACAGGGTTGGGCTGACCGCGACGCACCGACGTCTTACAGCGAGAGATCTCCTGACCAACCGAGTTCAACAGAGTCAAACGCCCATAGGTGTCTGAGGATCAGGGGAAGGAGAGACATTTTTAGTTTTATCTTATTTCTTTGTTCAAATGTAAACTAGGAGAATTATTTGCGTGATAATAATTTGAGTATCTTATCCTTTGAGGACTGTGGAAACTATGATGTTTTGTGTTTGACTCTTATTGTCTCCCTGTTACAGAAAAGTAAATGCAAAATATTGTAAAAGAAGAAGTCTCTTGGCATGTCTGCAGATCTTGTAAACAGAGAGTAGAGATATACACTTTGTTCTTCTGTCTCGGATGACCCTATGGGGGTCTGTAGGATGCATACTGAAATGTGTTACTTAAAAAAAACATCACTCAAGATGAATTATTTAGATTTTCTTACTCAGTACATGAAATTCAATTATTAATACTTGTATAACAGCATCTATTTGTTGGAAAGTCTGTGAGTACAGTGTTTATGTGTCTGTTTGAAAAAGCTCACTGCACACCTGGTGGTCTGTTGATAGCCAGGTTTCTGAAGTGGCTGCCCTTGATTAGCTCCACAGACATGCGTCCGGTGGTGGCGTTGTATGAGAGACCAACCAGCAGCTCAGGGACCCCGCCGTGGGTCAGAGACTGAGTGGACGAGGCGCTGTCGCTCTGAGACACAGCAGAGAGGCTGAGCTGGGAGTCCACACTCTGAGAAAACAAAGAAACAAACATAGAAATCTGACCCTGTAGAAAACATTCCAACGTTATTATTCAAACAACAAAAAAAAAAAGGTCACCTTGAGGTTACTTCGAGGCTCCAGGACCAGCGTTGTCTCCATTGTTCCTCCATCAGGGTCAAGCCCACCTAAACGCAGCATCTTCTCACCCATCATCCTCTCCCGGGACATCCTGCCCCCGAGCGCGTACAGCCTGAACCTGATAGCCAACATGTGCAGGTCAGACGGATCCAGGCGCGAGAAACGATATGTCTCGTTGAAGTGCGGCAGGGAGCCTCGTTGAACCGACGTCTTGTGGCGTTGTTTTTTGGAGGGTAGTAGGACCATGTGCACCTGCCAGGAGTCCATTCCACTGCGAGCCTTATCAGGGATGTCCCGGGCAGCGATCACAGTGACCAGCAGCTTCTCCGTGTCTGGACGGTACTCCAGAGAGAGAACCAGGTCTCCACATTTAGAGATGGGAGGTCGAGGGGATGAGCTGACTGGCTGAGAGGAGACCTCATCAAGGGGAGGATGCTCTTGCTGAGAATGATAGAACAAAAAAATGATTACATTTTCTTTATCAAATACACCTGATCATATACAATATGTGTTTATAGAGCTGATATATCAAAAGAAAGACAACAGAAAGAGGGCAAACAAACAATCATTCATTATTTCCAGCCCTGACAAGCACAATGTCTCTTCAGCTAAATGAACAGAACCCACAAAAGGATTTATTGCAATGAACAAATCAAAAGTTAAACCTACCCAGAAATCACTCGTCATGTAGCTTCAAAATTGTGATGTAAAACATGTACTTTCCTCTTACTTTTATTTATTTTCCTGACTTTGATCACACTAATTTGACTCTGAAATTAAAGATAGATTTATCAAATCTACTGTAAAACCACAGAGGAAGTTGATAAGAGGTAAAGGCATCGAAATATATATAAAGAATGTAGTAATTCTGCAGGAGGGCCTCTGTAAGAGAAAAAAAGATCTTAATCTTAACCCTCTTAAATGTTAATAAATGTGGTGCTGAATCAAACTACCTATTCATATTGGGTTGCAGCCTTATATATATATGCTACAACATTAAAATTCAATCCATTTAATGAGTTATTTTATATTACCAATCTGAATCTGAAAGTTGACTCATCTGTAAAGTTTTGTTTATAAATGTAGTATTTGCAACAATGTGGGGTGAAAGCATATCAAATAGCATACTGACCTAAAGAAAGGAAACTTCAAAATGGTATAAAAGTGTATCACTTGAGTGAATATTCTTTGTTACTCTCCAACAAAGTGACATTTAAAAACTCACAATTAGAGAGTAATACTCCCAAGCTTTTTTTTTTTTTGTAATTTAAGAGGAAGAAACTGAGCAGAAATCCTGTCATAAAGAAGAAACAAACATCTTCCTTCTTCTCGTCTCCTCAGCCCAGCCAATCCCAGCCTCCCATCCAGTCTGCAAACACAACGTCGCTTGATTCAAGTGTTGACAGAGCAGGGCTGAGTGTCGTTGTCGACATGGTAACAGCAGAGGAGATAAGGTAATGACAAAGCTGCTGCTCCGGTCTATTGAACGTGCAGGTCAGGAGGTCCACATGTGAAGAGGAAAACACAAAGGCTCACGCTCGCCTGAGCAGCAGCTTTGGATGATTACTTCTCCAACACAGGCAGTAAAACAATTACTTACCATCACCACTAGTAGTGATATTGTGAATTTTATAGTGGGTAGATATGCACAATTAAAGTGACACAGTTGTTGCCATAGAATCTTAAATATCAGACTCCCATGAACAGCCAACCACACCAGGCAATCAATTGATTAATAAATCAACAACCAAGATAATAAATAAATAAAACAATAAATCAAAAGGCAACATTTTAATGAATACCTTTTAATAACCTTAAATCAATGCATGATGTGGTCCCTTTCTACATGAATCAATTCAAAATATGAATATGAATAAATTAGTTAGCTGAATATGGGTCAATATTCTTGTCCCAACAACAAGATAGTAACCGAGACACAGCACCAACTCTTGTGATTACAGTAGCTCTACTCAAAGAAGTACTTGTTGAGGTATTATTTCTTGTCATTAGGAACACGTTCGTAGTAAATTAGCTGTAGCATTAGCAGTGGCACAACTGTTACATAACAGTAAATAAACTGCTACAACATGGCTCTCCCGTTTTCTGTAGCTCCACTGATCCAGACTCATTTCTTATTTATGAAGCGTTTCACTGTGTGTATCCATGGATGTATGTGTGTGCGTGTGTGTGTGTGTGTGTGTGTGTGTGTGTGTGTGTGTGTGTGTGTGTGGTGGATGTGTGTGGGAGGTGTTTACTGCACAGATTGCTCCAAATTTCAAAGTGTGATTCGCTGACTGAGAGGTTGTTAAATTCTACATTCCCACTCTCCTACACACACGCACACCAAAAATCAACTCAGAAGTACATGTTAAGTAGATTTATGCACGTATTTATGCACACTGTTTACACACACACACACACACACACACACACACACACTATGAGTGATTATTATTCATGAGCTTCTGTTTGTTAGCCAACGCAGTGTGAAGAGCGAAGGAAATATCGACTATTTATACAAAACCTCGAGGCCTCGGTGGGTTGTGTTTGTTTTTTTTTTTTCTTTCTTCCAAAATGAACCTGAGAGGACAACAGCGGTGTGATAATCCTCTCACAGCTGAGTGAAGATGATACCTCTGCCAAGCATGATGGGTAACAGCGGGGCCGTGGCCACCTCACTGACCCCTTTAAGTAATCCTTTCCTTTGAATTCTTTTTTTCCAAGTTTTTGGTGATAACAATGAGCTGAAATCTGTGACATTTTATCTTAAGATTTAAAGGCTTATCATAAAGCAAAACACAAATAGACCAATTGTGAATACATTGTGGACTAATGGCTTCCCAAATAAGAGCGTGAAGTCAAACTCCCTCTGGGTTTGTTGTTCTGATCTCTGTGTTCACGCTAATGGGATGGTGCTTCCTACAGCTTATTTCTGATCCGCTTAGAGGCTCAGATGCACATCATTTCTTGCAATTGATTGCAGAATCTTGTTTCATCAGCACTTGTCTCGCCATTCTCCGTCTCACAGACCCATGCTGGTGAAACAGGAAGGTAGGGGCAGGGACGCGTGGAGGCAGGCGGGGACGGGGACGGGGGGAGCGGAGAGATGAAGGAGGTGTGTCCAAATAGAGCATTTCTTTTGATCTGGACAGTCGCAAAGTCAGCCCTGCATGTTAAACCTTATTTCAGTGAAGGATTTATGTATTTCTATTGGCATGTGTGGCTGCTCATTGTTTGCTAGCAGAGAGAACTCCCATGATTCCGCTGTCAGTCTCAACGTATTGTTTTGATTGAGCTGCCGATTTCCCATACTGTGCCTTTAAGCACCATATACAGCGTGCCGTCCCTATCAGTGGTTTACAAAAAAAAAATCAGAATAATACTGAAATTAGTATCTGGTCCATATTTGGGTTGAGAAACTATAATCACGTCTGCTTTAGAGGAGTATACTTTCATGAAGATTTTCACATCTAAAACTTTCGGTATGTACAAATAAGCCAAATTATGAATTGGCATGATAAATGTAATCCCCAAATACCTGGTAAAACTGTACCGTCGATATTTCCATTTTGGAGAGTTTTATGAAAGTTGAACTTATTCTACGCGTTAGACTGTAGTACCTCGGGGCTCCAGGTGGAGGAGCTGTCAGTTGCATCATTTTTTTCGTTATCGGCAGCCTTCTCGGTCTCCTCACTGCCGTCTGCCGCCTGACGCCTCATACTCGGGGTGGGACTGTTTCTGACATCCAGCAGCTCGATTCCTGCAGGTTTTTCCAGAGCCATCGAAGATTCTCTCTCCCTCTCCTCTGCCGCAGCGGTCAGTGGGTCCTTGAAACTCTGCCGGGCCTGAGCCTCCATTTCTGCAGAGGCGAGGCAACAGGAGAGGAAAGTCAGGATTAGGCCCTCTGCTGGTCAGGTGTAAAATGCTGGGTGTGAAAAGGGCAGGGTTTTTGTTAGCTAACTGCATTTGCAGAAAAATCTTGAGTAAATAATTATACATTACAGCAGTCTGATTAATGTAAAACCAATAAGCTACATTTTCCTAACTAACTTCTCCATTTTCAATGGTGAATTGCCCTCAAATCTTGCATCCCTGAAACATAATTAAGCTGAAGAGCAACAAATATCAAAAGAAAACATGATACAAGTGTCAGGATACTGGTCTCAAAGAGTTATGTTTCTTAGTCTTGCATATTATCTATAGCTATACAAACACCATCTTACGGAGTGCAAATTAGCCAGACAGGCAAAGATCTAAACAGACATTTTGCCCTTTAGAAAGGGATTCAAGTCGAAGTTGATATTATCAACCACCTCTTCTTTTTGCCATCTGAGTACATTAAGGGCCTGTGTCCTTTTTGCTCTGGCACTGCATGTTTTCTATAAAAACAAATGCAGTCCAATATGCCAATCAGACTCAGGTTTTCTCTCTTAATGGCCTAAAGGGCTAAAATGATTAACTACTTGAAACTTAACTCTAGTTTTGATGTTGCTGTGTAAGCACAGTATTTGGGATGAAGATGTGTTAGTAGAGCAGCTGCAGTTGCCTTAATTATTCCCGCTCATCACGGGCTATAGCTTTTGCAGCTATTGTGACCATTCAAAGAGACATTGTCCACGTGTCCAGCTGTACAATTCACATTTCTGTTCACAAATTCAATGTACAAAAAGCCTTACTGCAACATCTACATAAATCAAGAGAAGAACACAAACTTTATTGTCCACCGAGTTAAAGAAACTCATTGATTTGATGATAGATGATAAATGACATGAGAGAGGAAACAGACATGTTATCTCCTCTGGTATTTCTCCGAGGAGGTCTAAAAGAAGTTACCTAAACGTCGTTAGGGAGCATTGTGTGTTAACAGAGGTGATATTGTGTAATCCATCAAACCCTGGCCTTTACCTGAGACAGAAACACCCTGAGAACAGCCCGTACCTGAGACCAATCAATAGCAATTATCTCCAATTCAGTATCATTAAGGTCGGTCTGACTGTTACACCAACGGCTGCATACAGTGCTGGCCATGGCAACAGGCTGATGTGAGTCATCAGCCCTACTGTGTGTGTGAGTGTGTGTGTGTGTGTGTGTGTGTGTGTGTGCATGAGTAAGCCTATATGTCAGTTAAAAAGGGAAAATAAATACCAGTTGAGACAGAGCGAACCCAACCTAATGATGTCACCACCCACCAACAACTTGCTGCTCATTTAAACAAGCAGGTCAAATACGTTTGTCTGTTTCTGCTTGCTGTAATGAAATTAATGGAGCAGTGTGTGAAGTTTAGGGGCTTCACTCAGTATTAGATGGTGTGTAATTGTAATAGTCATGTTTTCATTTCTTTGTACTGTCACTTGGAAAAATAAATTTCAAATGTATTGCAGGTGGAAGTTAGCGCCATATTTGAATACATTCGTTAGACGTTGTGTTTAAAAAATAAGACAGGAATAATGGTCATAATAGAGGTTTGAGATACAGTGAAGTTGTTCTTTAACATTTTGGTTTGGTTTAAAATTGCGTCCTTATTGTAGTGCAGAGTTTTTGTCATAATGTTTGTTCAGGAATGAACAGCCCACCTTCACAGTCTGACGGCTCAGTGCTGCCCTCCTCCTGGTCTGACAGGCGCGTGAACTTGTGTCGACGGCCCGAAGCAACCTGCGTCTGATGGGCCTGCTGCTCGCCGCTGTGCGTTGCCGCTGTACGAAAACTCTGCGAGCGCGACACAGAGATCTCAAACTGCTTCAGGACCTCGTCTTCACTGTCAGATGAGCTGACGTCATCTTCATCATCGCCAAAACTGTTCACTAGAGGCGGGAGATAAACAGGGAGAGCAGGGGGTGACAATGAGGAAAAACTGGGAGAGTTAAAGAGCAGGAGAGGAGAGGAGAGGAGAGGAGAGGAGAGGAGAGGAGAGGAGAGGAGAGGAGAGGAGAGGAGAGGAATAGAATAGTAGGTATGGAGAGTACGTATAAATAGAAGAAGAGGAAACAAGGAAGTAAAGAAAGGAGGCAACAGGGAAGAAAATTAAAATAAAAAAGATAAAATGAAGAATTAACTTGAGTCATGGGAGGATAAAACGAGGAATAATATAGGGGAGGAAATAAGGAGAGGTAGAAGAAATGTATACAAAAAAGAGGAGAAAAAGGAAAGAGAGGAGAGGAGAGGAGAGGAAGGGGGACAGGAGAAGCAGAAGAAAAGGAGGAAAAAAGGAAGGTCGGAAAGGAGAAGAGAGTAGTGTAAAAGAGGAAACAAGGAAGAGAGGTGATGTGATCCTGTTTACAACAACCATGAACCATGAAGTCAATGAATCACTTTTTCTTCCTGAAATACTGATTACAAATGGAAAAAAAAAACATGTGCTAAGCCCCACCCACCTTAGTTACTGTCGCTATCTTTGTCAAGTTTTCCACTCTCGTCTCTCACATTACAATAACAGGAGCTCCTGAAAATGGTGCATTTACTAACACAAACCACTTTCAGGACCAAGATTTATTTTTGAGCTTTTTTGGGGAGATATGACGGTGAATATAGTTGGAATTCGGGGCGAGAGAGAGTCGTGAAGCCAACATTTTTTTTTTTTTTTTGGCTTCTCTTTTCTAAAGCAAGTGAAGGTGGATACATGTCATCCATCTTCACATAAAGTGAATGGTCCAAACTAGAGAGTAACTGCTTTGTCAGATATTCCAAAACAAATTGTACGGAAAAAGGCAATTAAGCAAACTTAACACAGGTTTGAAAACCGTCTAAACCTGTTTCAAAAGTAACCCAATAATCTGGCCATCAGGTACAGTATAATAATGGTCCTTTGTGCTGGAAAATTATAGTTCTTTGTTAAGATTTAAATACAAAAAGTGAGGAAAAACACATTTAAAGCCTCTCAAGGTCTATCACACAGCTTGTCTCTCACTGCTGGAAAAAAAAACAATAGAAGCTGTTAGCGATAGCGGGTCACAGGGTCACTCCACTCACTTCATAATTTCACCATAATTAGATAGCAACAGCTGAATGAGTGATGCGTTGGTGTGATCAGTATGTCCTCTAAAGTGCAGGTCACCTTTTCTACCTGAGCGATCGCCATGGTTACCTACAGAAGTGGAAGCTGTTGCCTGAGTGGGCGAGCTGCATGATTAGTCTGTTAACTTCAGTTTTCTGAAGCTATTCTTAGGCGATAGACCTCAGCATGGAGTCGTGTTGCTTAATGATTACATTCAAAACACACACACACACACACACACACACACAGCCACACATACAAAAAAAAATCAATGAACACACACACACTCTGTCGTATACAAACACATTTAAATACACAGAAATAGAAAGTCGTTAACTAAGCTCTAGTGAGAAAAAAAGCTGCTTCATTGGTAAAAATCCAAAAGGTAAAACAAAAACAAAAAAGCAAGAAAATACATGTATTAAAAGTAAAAGTAGGCATTCTGACCAGGTATAACAATAATATTTGAAACCAATACAAAGAAATGACCCATAAATAAGAATGCAAAAAAAAAAAAAAAAAATCATTAAAAAATAAATGTGTTAATAGTATTCAAAAGTTAAAACAGAGATGTCTGACTGCACTTGAATGCAACACAGAAACAACAAAACACTGTCAGTTGATATGCACATTGGGCTTGTTGTTCCACCTTTTGTTCTTCTGTAAATATTTACCATATGTGAAACATGAGCTTTGAGTTTATAAAGTGAGTTATTATAAAGACACATTTCTGATGTGTAAAGGACACCTTCTTATGGTTCAGTCTTTTTTAAACATCTTCTTAACGTCCAAGAAAGACGTCACAATCCGAACCATATAAGGCAGTCCTGTAGACGTCGATACTGAATATTAAAGAGACGTGGTTTTTATCGTCTTTTAAACGTTTACTATTTACGTCCAAGTGACATCCTTACAGGGTTCAAAATGAAAGTTTTCATGTCGTCAGATCCGGACGTTGAGCTGACGTCAGATATCGACGTTGGGCTTTAGAGCAAGAGAGAGGGGGAGCGAAAAGGTCCACTATCCGTACACTCTTGTAAATGTATCAAAACTGAAGCTTCTCCTGGCTCTGTTTTAAAAATGTAAATGTACAGCTGCTTGCAGCCGATTCTGTTCTGAACTCCAATAAATAACAATATCTGTTAATGTAGGCCCACAGCTGTTTGCTGTTGATTCAGTACTGAACTTCTATAAAAAACGAAATATCGAGTGGAACTTTTCAAAACGCGAGGCGTACTCCTGGTGTTTATGTCTGTGCAAGCATAAATTGAGCAGATTAAAGTTGTTTGTTGCAAAAACTAGATTCATTAAGAGGGGAAAATACATTTGATATAAATACAACCCAATAGATACAAGACAGATAAGATAAGAGTACGACAACAACAAAAAAATTGTTGTTTTATGCTGAACAGGGTTTTTTTTATGTTGTGGAGATTCCTTTGTGTACCAACCCAGGGTACCACCGGTTGTATGCGTATCATAGTTTGAGAACCACTGGTGAAGATGATAAAGCTAACATTTTCCTGGTTAAATATAGTATCATACGACCAAAGTCCTTTTTCTAGGAAACAGTCAGTCATATAAATACTACCAAACTTGTTTTTTCGTGGACATTTAGTTTCATATTCATTCATCATTCTAATTAAGTTTTCAGAATAAAATCTTTGATCAGAATGTGACTGTTCAACTGACCAAGTAAAGACACACATTTATGTTACAAAAAAAACCTCATTCATAACCTTATATATTTAGTTTAAAAAAAGTAGACATTATATAAAGTCATTAAAACTTACAGGTGGTTGAATCTTTTCTAATTACTTAAAAATATGCTATATATTATATATTAAATATCTTTGGATAATTTAAGAAAAGTAACTTAAATTGACACATAAGCATTTCATTCGTCTTCTTAAAAACTATTTGTTATTTATAAATGTATAAATATTTATCATATTTATCTATAGCTTCAAGCGTAATCTAAACGTTTAACATGTTTTTTTGCTGACCTTTTGGTTGAAATCACACGCAGTAAGAGCCCCTACTTCGTCCAGCGAAGCTCCCGAGGATTCAAAGTTGTGAGGGGAAGTGGAAGACTCCAACAGGATGTATTGTTTGTTCAGGAACTTAACTGGAAATACCAGAGACTCCACCTGCTGCAGGTGAGGAACCAACAAACCAGCACTGTGTTTGCTCACTGTTGGACTCACAGGCAACACCTGGATTGAACCATCCTGCTGGTGAGAATGTGACTTTGTCACAACAAAACAGAGTTTAGTTTTGCAATTTCTGATTTCCACTGTAGGAGGTAAACCCGGCGACAGTATTTCTTTCTTTGTTAAGGGAATTACTTCAAATTAAAATTGTGAGACTGCTGCAACAACAGGATGAAAGTCTGCATTTTTTCAATTGGTTTAATGCATTTTAATGACTGCTATGTTTTAAATCTGTGTTAAATGGATGGAATATTAATGTGCCCTTGATTTTAGTTTAGCTGCTTAAAGCCCCTGTGAGGAACTTTATTTTGTGTTGATTTTGACGCCCCCCGTGGACAAAGCTGTACCTCTTATCTCTTAGTTGATCTTGTCCTGAACATCTGGAAGTATTGTTTTTAGGGGGCACATTTTGGACTTTATTGGATAGGGCAGATGAAGAGAAAGATAGGAGAGAGTGGAGGATGACATGGTCAGATTCGTAGTACCTACTGCTGCTGCGACTACTGTATACATGGGGCATGCAACGGAAACATTATTTTGAATTATCAGGAGCCGTCAAATAAAGTGTAGGCTTTAAAACTCATGTTTAACACAAACAGGGCTTTGTCAGTGGTTTGTATACATGAAGAAAAGCTATTAATCACATCAGCCCAAAGTACAGACACAGTGAACCTCAAGCTTTACTCTAATACAAAAAAGGACCAGTATGATCCTTAAATTTGACTTTTCTTTAAGTTTAAGTGACCTTTGCTCAGGGTGTCAGCAGTATTTGCCAAGTGGGAGGAAATAAATCGTTTTACTTTGGTTCTCTCCGTACTTTTCTGTCTTCTTCAAGGTTGTATAATGTTAATATTTTTATTGTGCGTGGCTGCAGAGCTTTGTGGCAGTATATGGCTGACTCACTCAACTCTTTCTCTCTTACATACATGCTCGCCCACCCAAACCACTGTACAAACACGAGCTCACCCACGTTCTCTCTCTGTTACTGAATAGTTTAATTGGAGTCGTAATACATACAGGAGTCACATACTTTCTCTCTGTCGTCTCTCTCCCACTGAGGTGTTCAGCTTATATAACAGAAGAACCTTGGCCAGAAAGCAACAGTGTTCACTTCTAAGAATTAGGAAATACACAGACTTCTACAATTCTGCTGATGGTACTTAAAATGCTCACTTGTTAATCTAGCACTAGTTTTGTTAGCTGTACATATATCATCTGAATTTACAATGTTAGTTGTGTTAGATAATAAGATCCTTGGATACATATCCAGGGGAAAAAATGATAGTGACTTTTGAAATAATTTCAATCATCCTACAGAGTTGGAAACCAAAAACATGGTGGGAATTTTTCTTAATGAATCAATTCATTAAAAAGGAGGGAATGACTCAAATCTTTATAGTTTTTTCCTTTACCAGTTAAAAATGCAACTGAAAAGGAAAAGTCCACATAGGTAGGCTAAATCACATCTGATAATCTGTTAGCTAATGCTAGAAAAAAAGCTATGTTAGCATTCAAGTACTTCTTAACTAAAGTATTAGTGCACATTACCATTAATATTGTTTAACATCACCGAGCTGTAATACTAGTTAGGAAGTGATTAATAGCTTACATTAGCTTCTGTCAAATGCTAGCTAACAGGTTTTAAACTTTGTTGTTTTGATCTGTGGATTAGCTACCATAGGACACATTCAGGACATCGGATTTGGAGCCAACCCTCAGCAAGACCTCAGCGGAAAATGGCCGCCATGTAAATGTGGCCTATTAGCTACAACTGGAGGTTGTTGTACTTGTCATTTTATACATCTAATTTGAACAGTAGCCCCTTTTCGTTTCGTGAGACTTGCAAACATAGAGGGTACAAAATGCACAGAATGCAGAGCCTTGTGCTGTTCGTCATAATTGTTGTTTTGGTTGCTTCTTTCCATAATAACATAAAAACCTTCTCCACATTCGATTCCATCCATTATCGATACCTCTTTTCCGATTTGAGGTTGCATGTAGCTTGTATTTCAGCTGTCATTGGGCGAGATGCAGGGTACACCGTTGACTGGTCGCCAGTCAATCACAGGACTGACATACAGAGACAAACAACCAGTCACACTCACGTTCATATGTGGGCAATTTAGAGTCACCCATTGACCTAATGAGCATGTCTTTGGACTGTTGGAGGAAGCCAGAACTCGCCGGAGAGAACCCAAACATGTTGGGGGGGAACATGCCAACTCCACATAGAATAGTCCTGTTCAACGAGATTCATACCAGGAACCTTCTTGCTGTGAGGCAACAGCACTACACAGTTTACTTAACACTTTTGGCCACCTGTACAGAGGTCAGTGGCCCAGTTCAGCCACCCCAGTCATAAATGTCTTGCTGCACCACTGTGTGAGGGCCACTTTTGCATCGTGGTTGGAAAAACAAGACAAATGTCACTTTCTTGTTTAGACGGGTCTCTTTTTATCGGTCACTCACCAAGCCCCTGGCGGATTCCCACTCTTCCTTTCTTCCGGCGACCATGTTGCTCCAGACAGGGCAGCCCGCCAACACGTGAGAAACACAGCTTCTTGTTGATGAAGAGGAAGAGGACGGCCAACGCCACGATGAAGACGCCCACTGCCGACAGGAATCCAATGGCCTCTGGGGTGACTGGCAGGAGGAGGGAGAGGGAGAGAGGACACACAATGACACACTGATCAGACCACACAAACAGACAGTCTGGATACATGCACGCACACAAACACACACACATTACGCATGGCACATGTGATACACACAGACAGAATGAGTGATACTTTAGTATTTGAGTTACCCTCAGTGCTTTAAACATCATTTATTTTTCACCAATTATTTTTTTTGTAACACTTTGAATTTACAGTTTCCTCAATTGACCCTTTGTTGGCTCTCTGATTGGTCCGCTGACTCACCAACCAGAGAGCCCCCTCTTATAGCAAGCATTGCTGGTCTAACTCAGGCTAGACAAACTTTCGCCTGGGTCAAGACTTTTAAGTACGCTACATTGACATCGTGACCTTAATTTTGTCACTACAGCATGGTTAAAAGGTGCTTGGGGTTGTCTGCAAGAGTGACACAAGATATCCACTTCTTAATCCGGGAATTCTTTTTCCGCATTTATGTGATGTTGGTGTGATTGTCAAATAGTGCACATAATTCTCAACTGCGTATATTTGGGGGCTTTTGCATTTGTTGAAATAGGACAGTAGATAGAGTATGTCGTCAGGGAGAGAGAGAGTGGGAAATGACCTGTGGGAAAGGAGCTACAGTTTCAACTTTGGGCCGTCCGCTTTGAGGACCACAGCCTCTGTACATGTGGCGCGACCTATACAGTTTTAAGGCAGCCCTTTTCTCGTCTTGGCATTACAGTAGAATCAAATGTTTAATATCATCGTAGGTCTTTAGTCTTGCCTTTTGCAAATTGTATTGTTCAATGACCTGACCTTTGTCAACAACCAAAGAAGTGGTCTCGCAAGCACCACACAGGAAGCTTCAAACTCGTAAACATGGAGTATACAACTTGAATAAACACAGAGCATGTGACAGCCAGGACTTTTTCTAGTCTATTGAGTATTATAAAATATAATAATGTGTTCTTTTGCTTTGTGAAGTAACAATGTTTCTATTGTAGGTTGGCAAGTTTGCAGTTCAGATCTGCACGCTGTTTACTTACTGTAACTCCCTGTGTTTCAGATTTGAAGAGGTTTAATGATATCCCAAACTTTCCCTGAACAGTTCTTATATAAGCCTAGCTCTTTCTCGACAGCCCCTATAAATACATTTAATATGTACATAGATGTTGTAGTTTCAGTAAAAATGTCCCATTATTTTTAATTTCTTTGGTTTAAAAGATGTTATAATCTAACAATAATCATAAGAGCTTACATATCTACCTCCACCTATCAAACTGGAGAAAGAACGGTAAAATATAAGACAGAAAGAAGGAAGAAAAAGCATGAGAGGAACTAGACGGAGACAGCAGAAAAAGGAAAAGAGACAAGCGAGACAGATAGTTCCGATGGAATAATGAGAGAAGATGAGTTAAAAACATAAGAGAAATCAAAGATAGGAGAGACGCAGAAAAACATCTGGACCAAAATAGAGAGAAAGGAGTGAGGCAAGTTGTAGCGAGGAAACGGATGAATGAAAACAAAAATAGAGATTTAAAAGACGAGAGGGGGGGGGGGGGGGGAATAGGAGGAGGAAGAGAGATGTGGATACGCAGAAATGAAATGAGAGCAAAGGTGCTCCAAGGCGTACTACTCTGCTCTCAATGAGGCGGCTGAGACTCAATACAGATGAATAGAAATGCACAATGGGGGGTCGTCGCCTCTCGTTTCCAGGGTAACATTTCAGAGAGCAGAACTAAATCAATGGGAGCATGCAGAGATGAGTACACATCCTGCTGAGAGCTGACACGGAAAAAAAAAAAAGGACTCAACATTGTAGATGTGTTTATGTGCGTGAGGAGGATGTAATGCTGTTTTATGTATTCCTAACACCACCTTTTGTTTTCTCACTCTGATTTGTCTCTCTGTCAATTTTGGGAACAGCATCTCCCACCTTATGATGTAGCTTATTAATCCAATCACAAGGCCAAGCATCAGTGTGCGTTTTCATGTGTGTGGTGACAAAATAATGAGCAATAACTGAAGCTGGTTCATTGAGCACATAAAGCCATCTTTGCTTAAACTACATGCAACAGAATCAGAACATCTTAACTCTGGCTCTCATCTTCATTGGTGCCAGAGTTTGCATTAAAATCTTACATAATAGAAAAAAGAACATACAAGATGCAGACGAAATCCCACCTACGTGAGTTAAGAATGGACGCAAAACGCCTCCTGAAACCTTCTTAAAAAGAAGCAGCAGCATATCTCCAATTTGAGTAGGCTGAAGAGGGTGAAAAAAATCTCCCGAAAATCTTGACTCCTACCAAACCCGGCATAGAGCATCTTCACATACAATACGGTACAATAATTGTCTAGTGGTCTGGAAATCGAGCTTTGCGATGGGTTGGTAATACTTCACAGCGCACTATTGGTGTCCTAAGATGTTTTTACACATGCACCCAACAAAATCTGAAAGTCTTCCTGAGTTACTTGATCACATCTGTTCCTCACAATGTGGAGTTTTCCCTGTTGGATTGGGTGGGGGGCTGCTATTGAGGAGTTGACTTCAAGTTATAAGTTAGATAAGTACAATAATAATATCTATATCGAGTCTGTTTTTTTTTTTTACTAAAGCAAGCCATGTTAGTTAAACCAAGTTGTCTACATAAAATTGCACTTCTTTAAACTTAAACCACATTTTTCCTAAAACTGAATCAGAAGTTTTTGTGGCTTAACATAGCAAAACTGCAACCACAACCTACACCAGGTTTCACTTCTAAATACTGTCAAATGTGTTAAGTTTGTCTGCAAGATCATTTTAAGTCTCTATCTATATGTAACTTATTTATTATTGCTTATTACTGCTTTATTCCAAATACATAACAGGATATTGTCTTTTTAATATTGTTCAACCACATTAATTGCAACTGCCCAAACGTGACACTTAAAGCTTTATGTATTATATCTGAGGATCCACAGACCAATCTGACTAGTTGGGAGTGAGTCAATACATCATCAAAACCTTATTATACTGGCTGCTGATAAGCAGTCCAGAAGGACGCTGCTATAGATGCCTCAAGGCCCACACATTAAGGTTAAGGGGTAAAATCACCTTTTATACCTAAAGGGAAACAAACCGTTTTCTTGAAAGTTTCTTTCTATAAAAAACCCAGTTAACTCTGATTTCTGCAGACAGACGACCTACTTTCTTCATGTTCAGCTGCCGATCACTCCCACATAAGAGAGAAGTCTGGAGTGCTAACACATGACAGATGCAGCATGGGAACACTTCTGCACTGGTTATAACCCTGTCCATGTTTCACTTTTAAAAAAACATCACTACCGCCTCCTCTTTCCTCACCTACACACTTAAGACGCCAATGACAGAGAAAATGTTCCTGCACAGACCAGTAGGATGTTCTCTTGTTTTAATGAGTTTTTACCCACATTAGCAAAATGACTGAAGGGATGTGGCGCCATGGGTTTGGTACAGATATCATTTATCTCCAGAGGATGACTTCCACATAGCAGAACAACTGTCAAGTCGAATTTTCCACTTGACCAACACCTCTGTTCATGCCTCAACACTTCTCAAACTACTGTGACTTCATTTCTGTCACCTGCAGCTATGAGAGATTAATGCAAACACATATTACAAATATATAAACAAGCTAACTTTGTCATGTCACAGGGAACGCTAAAATAACCAGCAAATTATACCACAAATTAAACAAGCATATACTTGTTATGTTAGCCTATACACACAGGCTGTGTTTTGATGGAGTCTTATCAAAATGTTGGGTTTCGGCACCGTCCTATTTCACAGCATTAGCATTTCTCTTAAAAAGTTTTCTTTCTTTTGCGAACATCCCAGCTGCCACATCTTAACTTTTACAATTAATTACGTAAAATTAAGAGATAAAAAAAGACCTATGACCGTCTTTAAATCAACAAATGAAGAATGAGTCATTTTTTTGTTTTCAGTTCAGCTCAGCTCCAAAGTCAATTTTCGCCTCCTTGTTTGGTTTTAACATTTTTTTCCGTCAAACAAACGCAAATAATCTCCATGTACAGAACCTGCCAAGCAACAAGCTACTACGGATATAGTTACCTAGTTAGCAAGTGGAGGATTAATAAACTTAAGAGCCGAATGTTTTTTTTTTGGGAGTTGGCAGCTTGACCAACATTTAACAAGTGAACATAAACATACTCCATGTAAATAATATTTCTGCTTCGTGTATGTTGGATGTGTTAAGAAGGTAACACATGTTAGCAACAGTGTTAAGAATCGATAGCATATCTAAAAGGTTTTTTTTTTTTAAACTACAATTGCTGCTTTCTTGTGTGCTACTTGCTAAAGGTTGCTGACTATGTATTAGTTAGCATTGTGGCATGCTAGCGAGCTACTACGCTACAAGTTATAAACTTAACATTGTCTTTTTTCCACTTTGAGTCTACATTCAGATGTGATTGATACAATGCATTATTATGTTACTAACCTACATATTTCATTTTGCTTTGTTTTCAACCATCCAGTTTGAGCCTTTTTGTGTAGTTTTCTCCATAAATAGTTTTCAAGATTCAGAAGCGTATTGCATTCACATGAGAAACAAAAATGTGCTCTGTTTTTCTGAATTATTGTGATATTATTTAGAAATTATGATTAAAGAAGTGCTTGCATTTCTGAGCAAAACAGCTTTAACAGACAGGTGGGGCTTGCATCTGAACTGCATAGATCTAAGGTGCATGCACAAAGTCGACTAAATAATAAGAATACCATCTACTGAAAGACGCAAGTACTTCTCCATGTTTTAAACCCAATCCAAAATAAAACTGAGTTTAACAGAACAGTCTAGGAACATTTGCTACTTTAAGTGTGCTTCATGAGAGCTTCTGTTGGGATCTTAAAGTACTAGTTTATGGTTTATTTAACGTTTCCCCCCATCAGTAAACAACAACCTGTGACCGAAATTAAGTAACAAAAAACAAACAAACTCTGCTGAAATAAACACACTGACATACTTAATGATTGGGTGTTGTGTTCGGATGAGGCTGTAAACTGGAGTTTCCCTCTCAGCTGCTCCATCAGAC